CGCGATCGCAGGGACACGGGCGACGTTCTAAATTCATGTAAAATCAATTTGCTGCACGCGTGTTTGAACCGCGAAACGCGTTGCGCGTTCTTTCCGAGCGAAGGAAATTATTCGTAATAACACCTTTCACTGGCACTTCTAGCCAACGCGCAACGAACGCGTTCGAACGTTACCAGTGCGCCTTTAACGATATCTTATTTTCTTGACAGTCTTTGAATACCAGCGACCGATCCGACACGAAGGAAATAATAATAAATGTCACGGGAAAAGTCTCATGGTTAGAGAACGAAGTTCGATCATTCGTTTCGCGAGATATTTATCGCGATCCGGTACACGGATCATTCTTTTCGTTGCGTTGCGAGACCGTAACCGTAACTTCTAACCCGATAAGTAAACGACCGATCGGATTTTAACTTTTGCAACGCTCGAATCGTATAATATCTATGCGAGTGAAAATATGTGCGCGATGTTGCAAGAACTCGGTTCGCAAAGTGCTTGTAAATCCTCGAATACTCTATAATTAAGATATACACGTTTAACATACCGCGTGGAAAACACCGGAGTACGTTCGATAACTGGCAATTTTTTGCCACCGAAATTTCCAATACATAAAACGCCCGATAAAGCGATCGAAAACGACTAATCGCCAAATAATTCGCTGAATAATTTCGTTGGATTTTATATTCTTTTTGTAGCTATACACCGTGAAAAGTATTTAAACGCGTAAACAAACGGAAGCGAAGCAATATCGTTACTCGGAATCAGTCATGAAATGCTAGAAAATTCTTCCACGATAAATTCTAACGTTTACTCGAGCGCAATTTATTTTCGTAACGAATCACCGTCACTATGCAAATATCCCGTCGTGCTTACCTCGTAAACAGTTTCAACTTACCGGATGGTAGGGTAACTGGAATAGTTATATCGCGATCCGTAAGCGTTTCCTCGGGGAACACAAAGTCCACCTTCGGTGAAATCGTCGCCAAACCGGCTTCCTGTCCGCCACTGGACGACCACACTTTCCTAGAGCTTCTAAGCATATTATAATTCCTCGCAGCCAACGAACGAGTTATAAATCTAATACCGTTAACGTTACCGCGATTCGTTTCCTCTATCGACTTCGTCGAGACGCGTTTTATCGAAGATGGATACAAGCAACAATCGTTAAGAGCGATATGTCCTAGGAAGAATTTAGGGAGAACCTTGGAAGAAGAAGATCGTTCGAAGACTCTGGAAGGTTGTCGACGGTGAATCGACGAAGAATCTCGAAAATATATTTTATGCTTACGTGGAAGTATAGAGCGGAAATTCGGAAAGTTTTATTTGTGGAACGTGTCTCGCGTGTACGGTTCGAAGAGAGTTCACTGTCTCGCTACGTGACACCAGATTCCTGCTCGACCGTCGATGCGACGAGACGACGCTTTTACACGGCGCCACCACGCAACGTTCGTCTCGTTCTGGTCAGGCATAAAACGCCACTCGGACCACCGATAGTTGCCAAACTGGCTTTCGGTTCACTCGACGAGCAAATATTCGATACGATTCGTATCGGTGCCGTCAGAAGCACAAACGGTCATCGAAACAGTTATCTCGACCGAAAACTATTCCTACACTTTTCTATGTCTCTAGACGTATATGTATGTAAATGAAATAATTTTTATAGAATACCTGTAATTTACGCTGTCCGATTCGGCAGAGATTCGTTATACGAATATGCGAAAAAAATGTTCTAAACAAGAGAAATATCGAAAATTACTAACTTTTCTGCGCGTCTGGATTTCGTTAATTTTCGGGCAGAAAATTTTCATCGCGATTTTCCAACCGTCCGAACCACAGGATTAATTATACTTTAAACAGATTTGGCGAACGTTTTCACTTTCCGATTCGCGACAAAAATGAATAATCGGTGGAAAAAGGATAAAAAAGTGGAAGAACCGTTTGAAAATTCTGTCCGTAACGCTATTTATATGTAGAGAAGCGCGTTAATACCCCTTGGAAAGCTGACTAGCGGTAATTAAAGTTGCTAACGAAACGGCTAATTAAAATTTCCATTACTCTCAATGAATCCACCTTGATTACATCTCGCCGGAAGTGAACCTTAATAGGTTGACTGACTGAAATTCCTTGCTTTTACTAAACTCTTCGGTTTCATCGGTTCCCTAGCTTGACAATTTATCGCGCATACCGCATTCAAGGCCGATACAGCGACTATTAAAATTCTATTCATCCAATAGGCTCAATTTTCAAGTTATACGCTGATTCTTTTCGCAAAGATTTTCTCTCTGATCGCATACCGAATCGTCCGTTATCGTGTGTCGTATTATCACGCATCGAGCTGTTGGGTATCGTACGCAGTTGTATCGCCACGCGTGTCATGATCATAGAAACAACTTGAATTCTTTCGTTAATTTAATAGATCATTCTTCGAAACGAGGACTCCACGCAAAAACAACTAGTATTCCATGGCGTTACTGTATAAATTTCGTTGGAACTGCGAAAATGCACTCGACGAACGTACACAGCGTCGAATAATGAAAGACTGGTTCGAGTCGCGTCGCGCGCCGTGTTGATTCAGGCTATTCGTGTCGAAAAATCGAGCGACTGGGTATCGCGAAAATCAAGCCAGACTCGGCTGCTTTTCCCGTGCTGAATCACGATGAGCTTTTCGCGCGGATCTAACAGGAGCTGTTATTCGTCGTCGGTCCGAATAAGATCCGCTCCTATTTCGAAGGAAGAAGGCGAATAGAATTTTTGTGGCTAACAAAAATATCATTTTTTTTTTTCGCTTAATCAACCGACGGATAATCCTGTTCGAAATACTCCTCTGGAAAATATCGTGAACCGTTCAGGAAATCAGCTAGGTAGACGAATAACGTCTATCTCTTCGCTTGGTTTACGCGTACGTTTTATTCGAGTGTTTAATAATTCCACGAGATACGACAAGCTTTCGTTATATTGCCTCGACCAAAGTTACAGAATGAAAAGTTTTAGCTCGTTTGTTCGAACGGTCGATATCGATTAGCATGATCGTTTAATCGGATGCACGCAGGTCGAACGTCCACGTTGTTATCGGTGTGCCGAGGTCCTCGGTGGTTGACAGTCCCTAAACACTCCAAGTGTCCAATAGCTTAGTTCCGATGATCAGACGAAAACCGATGCTTTGAGCGCGTTGCAACCACCTATTCCATAGCAATTACACAAAATCGAGGGTCCATTCGATTACTCGATTTTTGTGGCTAACAAAATTCCGGCTAACCGGTCCTTGATCGAAACATTGAATGACCATCGAACCGTAGAAGAATATCTTCTTTCGCGTCGACGAAGAAACGATTCATCGTGTTCCCTCGATAGATTTGCAATTATCGCGTAAGAAATATCCTAACGAAAAGGATTAATCGTTTCCTCGTCCGAAACAAGATCCGCAGTTCCAAGTTTCCCAACGACGGTTCACCGCGTTGAAATTCCAGCAATTACGTCGCTAGAAAGTTTCGACCATCGCGGTGTAAGAGTGGCCACAAGCGACCCTTCCGTTTACGCGCGAGTGTGTGCGAGCGTGTACGAGATCGTGTGCAAGAATGCAAGAACGGGACGCGCGTTTTCGGTCGCATCGTTGAAAATGCCAGTGGAATAGCAAAGACCCGTAAAGTCTGATGAAGTTATTCGGTAACAGGTGAAGATTCGATCCTGTATAACCACTTTGAGAAAATCCTAGAAGCTTTCGCGCGCCCTCGAACGCTACACTTCCCTTCGACTTTCGACTTTCGACTTTCGAGTACGGTCACGTAGCGAGGTCGCGAGGTAGCTCAATTTTTTACTGTCCTCTTCCGGAGGAATTACGTTCTCCATTATGGAAACATTGGCCGTACCGTGAGTCCTGTTAGGAGATTACGAAAGCGACTTTGCCGGTAAGGGGCTGTTTGATTTTCAGAATGAATCAACCCAAGAGGTGATCTATCTACGTTTCAAACTGATCATTTTACCATCATCCGTACAAACATCGTTGCTCGATAATTGCGTTTGTAGACCAATCTCTACAATTTGCGGACCCGGCAATAGACACAAAATGTATGCTATATTACAGAGACCTTTTGTTAAATTCTCAAATATGCTGCTCCGCATCGTGTATAATCAATTCGATTCTGCAATTAGACACGAGGACAATGTAACCGGCAATAAAACTGGAGTCTATTATATGTTCAAATCAATAGCTAATATACATATATCGTCGTCGTATTCAACTGAAACGCAAATAGTCGATAAATTATTAGATTTTCTTATCAAATTGCCATATTGCAGCTTTCCGTTCTATTACTCGTATTTGAAATTATTTGTCAACACCAATCAGCCAACTGAACGTAAATTTCGTCGTCGTTGAAACGTACCCGTTGGTTCCGCTACAACTTTTACACTTATAACTACGCGCGATCGAAGAATTTTCGATTCGAAATCGATATGCCGATTAAACTACCGGACGAAGTTCAACGTCATGTGTCGATTAATTAGTCGCGTCTCCGAATGCCGTTTATCAATGGGTTCGGTTTTTCAATCGTTCCTCTTCGTTCTTCCTATAGAGAAATCTTATACGTCGCGTTGGTCGTAAACGAGCAAAAAGAATTTTACGGGCGTTAATTAGTTAAAACTCAGTAGCAGTAGAAGTAATTAAAAACTCGGTTACCTCCAAGCCGTCTGTCAAAGATTAACTTTGGCTCATTCGATAAATGTCCTCCGGTGAAACTTTTCCGTCTTCTTCTCTGTTTTTTTTGTTTCCTTCATTTTTTTACTTACTCTTTCACCCTAACGAGAGAGGTCAGCGCGAAAAAGCCTCGTAGCTGCCGCGAGATAAATTTCATTACTCGTTCGAACATCCTTATTAACGCGATCTCACCGGTACGCGTAGTAATCGCTTGAAATTCGTTTTAATTCTGCTCCCCGAAAGATCGAGTTCGGCGAGTTGACATCGACGAATCGAAAAAGTTGAAGAGGCGTTTAACTTTACTTACCGATTCTGATGACCGGTGGCAACGACATGGCAGTGGTAACCAGGATAACAATGATGGCGAACAACAGTGCCATTGTGTCCGACGTGATCTCGACTCACACCTGACTATGACATCGTTCTTGCGTATTTCTGTCACGAGACAGGATGTTATACGAGTCGAGCAGAGAAACGTAAATGCGCGAAACTCGACCGTTCACGGACACTTTGACACGGAATTACATATTTTCGGGCCCTCGTGGTACGCGTGGTTGGAAATCCTCAGAAAACCGCCATTGTCCATGCCTGAAAACATAACAGACATTTCGAATGAGAAAACCGAACGGGTTACGATTGTCCGACAAGTCAGCGAAAACGATCGATATTTTTATTACGAAAAACACGTATTCGCTGGAACGTATCTAACAATAAGAACGAACCGAAAATAATGCGATTTTTACGCAAAAAACGTACTAGCAACGTTACGTACAAAATATCCGTAATTATGAAACGTATTCGAAATTCTAATTGTTACAGCCGCCGTGTCGGTGCGAATATTCCCATGCATTAAAATATAAAATATCCGAAAGGCGGTAACGTGTTTTTTCAGCATAGCTGTTTCGCAGTTTCGCGATATTAAAGCCATCGAAGGAAGCTACCGCGTGAAAATTTGGTGGAACGCGAAAGTACGGCCGACATTCTCATTAAATAGCAATCGGTGAAAAATGTCGGGCATGTTTCAATAGATTCTCTACATAGGCAGCGTTCGTCATTATGTAAAGATACGATGAACGTAGTCGGATCGAATGGATATCACCAGCTATCCGCTATAATTTCGCGGACATCGCGAATGGACTTTACGTCCATCTTCCACGTGTGTACAAGTTGTCGGTGAGAGTTAATGGACGCCATCAGTTTAATGGAAACCCTTCGACCGTGTATGGTCTTGCACATAAATCACTTGGGGAATTCTCACCGCGAAAAACGAGGCGACTATCGGAAACGCTACAAGATAGTGTTCACGTACGATGCGAAACGATTTAAACTGGTATCGGTGCGGAGAATTATTTGATTCTTTGGAGAAAATTGGTTTTTCGTTTCGTCAAACGTTTCGGGGTAAATGAGCCGCAACGAGCCGCCAATTTCGAACGTACGATATCCGAATAAACAATTTCAAGTTTAGAAATCGAAAATACATCGGGAGCAAAATTGACCGCAGTAAACGCGAAAATATTATTTAAAACCGCAACGGGTTTTAAAACGGGGTTTTAAAAGTCGATTATTCGATTCGCCACTGCGAAGAAAAACAAATATTCGACCGATCGGACCAGAATTCGAAGACGGTTCTTCCGGTCGCCAGACGACTGCTCCCCAATCCAGATATTCAGGCCGTCCTATCTCGATTATGGCTGCTGCCTACGCTATATCGAGTTTGCGCTCTCAACCTCGTTAACAAACTTTTCCCGGAAACTTGAACCTTCCTTCGAAAAGTAGCGATCTATGATTTTACAGAATTATTATTTTCGAACTTCGAGGTCGAATCGTGTCTCGTAGATCGTGCATTGTCCTCGTCTGCCAGTCGTAGAGACCGTTAGGATAATGAAAGTTGATCGATAGGAACGTACAGTCGGTATAAAAGAGGCTCTGGAGCGACGTACGAGTTCGGTGTCGATGCCACATGCAGCTCACGCTTCCGCTATTAGAGTTAACGTAAACGGATTTAAGCTAACCCAATTTACCGAGGGGTAACTTTACCCCTGGCTCGTGTTTGTTCGTCGTTTCTCCTCGGCCAGTTCTCAAGCGTGCTGCTTGATTACGTAGTCGCGTCCCTCCCTCTCGTACGAATCTCCTTTTTTCTTCTTTGTTTGCTCGCTTACGTCGCGGAATCGCTGCCTACGGTGCCGACCATCGTCGAGCGTTCGTCACTTTTACGGCTCTGAGTCATCCGTAGATGCTATTTCCTTCGGGCAAATTGTTTCTCAGAATGATTCCCTGAAATTCCCTATTACCGATCTGGACATGGCCTTCGTTTCCTTTTCCTTACTTCGAATCATCGATTCGACTACGCGCGTGTGGAATCAAACTGTCACGGCGACGCATAGTCTTACCATAACTACCAACTACCACACGCTGTAGTACCTTCGATTCGACAATCATTCGCGCCAACTATATACTATTATATATACGAACGAAACGTTGTATTACCACGCGTTTCAACGTCCTGCGTTGTCTGGCTTTTCTCGATCATCGAGCGTAATTTCAAAAATTACGTCTCGTTTTGGAGGTCGTTTCTTCGAAGTATTTACTGAACTCGTTTCCTCTCGTACGTTGAGCGCGGAATTAAAATAAACAAGGAAATTTGTTGTTTCTTGCAACTACGACTCTGATCCCTTTTGCTCTTGCACGACAGTTCGAGTTTAACGCAATTTTGTCGAATGTTTCTTATTTCAGACAGGATCATGTCTATAGATACAATAGGGACTAGGATTTATTTCACGTTTTACTTCGTTCGTCGTACGCAATCTTCGTGAAATTGAAATATGTCACGTTCGAAAGAGGTCACATAATTTCGTTCGATTTCATCGTCTTCTAATCGAACACGTATTCTTCGATGGTTTCGTTCGATCTACGAAATTATTATAAATTTGTTAGCAGCTGCGAAGATAAACGATATTCGTGACATTCGTTTCTGTTCACGGCTCCTAAACGCGGTCATGGAGCGAAAACAAGGGATTCCATTCAATAGTCCCGTTTCCCATTGAATCTAACTCCCTCTCTGTCATTAATTCATTAGCGGTAACTAGCTAGCATGCACGATCGCATGAGTTACAATCGTATTTCGCTACTGCAAAACTCGAGTAGTTGGTATCGATTATTGCACCCAGAATCAAGAAATTTCGGTTCGACAAGTGTTTTATTTAACAGAAAGGATCAAGGATCGATCCTCGAACGATCAAGAGTTTTACGAGCTGATTGCCGATACAGAGGATATAGTCTCCATTTACGTACGGATTTTGACGCTGCACTATCACTCGTTTACGTTTCATCGCGTCACGCGTTCAATAGAATTTTGCCTGTCTACACGATCGATTCCACAATGACCAATTTCAATTCGGAAAGCATTTGCAACGTTTCAATAAAATCTAATTAACTCGTTTTAATTGTCTAAAGATATTTCGATATCGATACTAGACAACTCAATTAATTATATCCAATTAATATTGGATTTTATCGAATATTAGACAAAGATCGAAAATTATTTACAATATCCGAAATTCTATAAAAATTCTATGAAAATGATACAAATATTTTCAATCGCGATAATAAATACACAATGAAATACACGATGAAATAACACCGAAATAAGTTCTATTGTTTTGAGTATTTTTATATTTTTTAGATAACAATTACACGATGTATCGGGTGAAAAGATTGAAATTTGGAATAATTGCAATTAAAGTATGCTCTATTATTCGCTGCCGTTTACACTGCACTATTGGATTTTCCAATTTTTCCCTTCCATACAGATTCACGAAACTGCGTTATATCGTATAAACGAACTTGCAATTAACGTTCAATTGCAATTATTCGATCGATTACGAGAAAGAAACACTCCCGCTTCGTTTGTCCTAGAACTCCGTTTAATATACAGCAGGAAGTATATTGAAAGACTCATTTTATCCTGTTTTCCGCTATTCTTACGAAGCATTGTTACAACCTTGATAAAAATATTGAACGTCGAATAGAACTGCATCAAAGTTAAAAAGGTAGTTAGAGCAGCACCATAATCGTTATTCTTCGAGGTGTCTCGCTTCCGACGAAACCCAGTTTGCTTGCGTGGAAGCCTGAGAAATCGTCGACGAGCTTGTTCATCGAGAGAGCAAGAGCTACGCGGTGACAGAGATGGAATTGACCAGGTTAAAAAGTCGACGTTCCATCGCGTGGCTCGTCTCCGATACAGATCGAACAGCCACGAAACAGCCACCAGAATGTCCTCTGCTCTGTAGTTCCCAGTGTTCCGGTGGTCGAAATTTACGAAAAACAGACGACCGTCTGGTTTAATTAAATCGATCGACACTCGTCGCCAACATACGAACGCGGTTGCTCGTGAATCGCGAAATAGAATTCGGTTGTATTCGAACGAAACACCTATCCCGGCTAATTCTAATTCTCAAACTAATTTCGTCCGGCTAGAATGTTTGCGATTCGAGCGATGCATCGTCTGACCAAGCGCGAAAAATTGTCCGACGGTGAAACGAAAGATGACTTTGTTAGAAAAAATGTTCTTTTAGGGAAAACAAGCGTGTCCAGGCACATACCTCGGTAGTCTACGTTTTCTACGTGCGAGGACAAAGAAGTTCCAACTTGGATTTTTTTCCAGTTTTCTATATGCTTTTTCTAAACTCTCTCTCTTTCTGTCTCTCTAAGCCATACTTGAATCGTGCGCATTCCTAATTCAAGCGATCGTTCGCTCGAAAATTCTCGCTAATCACGTTCTGTCGGGTGTAACTCACCGTTCGACGCTCGGATTAGTCGTTGGACGAGTAAAAAATATCGCCGAAACACCGTGGAATCGGTCTTGAACACGAGCCAGACGGAACATCGGTTTTTTACTTGTTCATAAATTACCGCGAATACTTGATTCGTCGTCGGCCAGTGCATCCGTCAAGCCGCGTACACAACCTACGAGTAGAAACAGCTGCATCTGATCGTTATTTCTTACAGATTTATAATCGAGATACGATTATAAATCGAAATACGTTTAATATCTATTGAGCGCGAACTAAAGGCATCGATCGGATAATCTTGAAATATCGAATGAAAAAACTATCGACAAATGGCTGCTCGGTCCAGTACATACTCTGTAACGATGCGACGCGCAGCGAACATTCGTTTCGAACGCAGCCGAACGCTGCCGAACGCACTTTTTCTCGTATAGTTTATCGCGTATACTTACCACGTTTCCTTTTTATTCCACGTATATCCTGGAAAAATAAATCGAGTTCGTGGAACGCGCGTTACCCGTCCGTCTCTCTCATTGGAACCACCCTGTCGTCGTTCGGCACACCGGACACTATCGTTCACCACGCGACGCTTGTCCTTCGTAGCATGCTTTTCACCGATGATCTTTCGGGCAAAAGGATGATCGTCGAATATCACTTTCGGAGAGATGGGCTACGTTTCGAAATGTTGCCCATCGAACGAGTTAATCACACCTATCTTTATTCTGCTCACTGAATATGATCATCGAAAATGTTCGACCTTCGAACCGTTACGCGGCATTATCGCGTCCGAGTTCTCGTTAT